CAGAGTTTTTTTTTTAGAATAAATCATGAATGCATTGTACTTACATTTTGTTAACTGAGCACACCGTGTTTTTACACACCGGTGAAAGTTTGTGTTCCCGACTCTTCAGAGCTCGCGAATTGTGACATCTTGGGATCGTGTCTGTGGCATTTTGCGTCCAGGCATCCAGACATGCAAGTTTGTCGTAAAACGTGCGCTCTGAAGGCTGAGGGCGTGCATGCTTTACGATTCCACACGATGATAGGATTCTTTAAAATGCGCGAGGTGATGTCATTTGAAGCCATTGCCTAACGGGAAGAAATCTGTACGGAAATATTTTACGTTGCATGGTCTCGTATGGCACATGGCGGGTGACATTACTGATCTGTATTGAATGAAGAAATATGTGTCGATGTAATACTGACCTTGACCTCGTGCAGCAAATGTCTGGCCATGTTACCGATCTTTAGCGGATTATGACGACCCCTGCAAAGCGTCGCTTGTTTCATTGCCATACCACGTTGGGTTTCGGAGATAACCTGATGAAGTCTGTGGCCCCAATGCTACACCATTGTGACCTGATTTCTCATGTCACATGTCACGCTCACTGATTGGTTATCATCCATTTACCGAAAACCAAAGCTGACGCTTGCTACTAAATTTAAGGAATCGCAACCAAAGGGAACATTCTACCACCGATTGGACAAGTGTCACCAATATGGACGTTTTCATCATCAAAACAGTAGGAAATAGAGAAGTTCTTCTAGAAGCTGGGATGTTTGGCCTGCTAGCGAAAACGGCTATACTTTCAGTCCAACTGGCAGCGAGTTCCGAATGTTTTGGGGCGCGGACGTCGCAGTTCACCTCGGACTTGCGTTTTGAGAGCGAGTCCCTGACCCGTGTTGAGTTTCGTATACATACCTAAAGGGCGAAAGGCGCAGCGGGGCATGGGAGCGGGGGCAGCACAGGGAACATGAAGCCCCCTCGGGGTCCAAGGGGCCTTCGGGCCCATCAGGACAGACGACGACGGTGCCGTAGATCTAGCCGGGTTACGAACCCAACCCGCAGGCCGGATCCTCATAGGCCAGCCAAAGGGCATCTTGCGCCTACCGTGATCCCCGGGCCGGTGAAGCCGTGTCTCCCGCGCCGGCCCTGTCTCCTGAATCCTGTCTGTCTCTGTCTCTGTCTCTGTCTCTGTCTCCTGTCTCCATTCAAGTCTCCTGCGCCGGCCGCGGCCGCGGCGGGTGTGGAGCGGCGCCCAGCCAGTACTGCGTGGCGCGCACTCCCCCCTGCGCTGTTGTGTGCATGGCAGCAGACTGGTGCCTGAGACCTGATTCATCACAAATGAATCGAATCGATTCTGAATCAAAGTGATTGGAAACCGAGTTTTGAATAAAACGGTGTCATTTGTTCGGACTGAATCAAGCGAAATAGAGTGGGGGTCATGGCTCGATTTAGTGTCATAAGAATTACAGATGTTGCTACTTATTTTTCTGTAATGGCGCACTATACAACACCATGGTTGGAATTTGAAAAACTTGTTGCACCCAATGATCGTGTTCTGTAAAGTTGCAGGACGTGTGCATCTGCACCACAATGCCTTATGCTAATAATTATGTGGCCCTATTCATGTATGTGAAGGATATATATATATATATATTATATATATATATATAGATATATATACATATATATATATATATATATATATATATATATATATATATGCATCCTTCAAAACGCCAGGCGTTCGTCGATGAATTGTCAGTTTGCTGCAAAACTTAATTTCATCACGGCATAGATAACTGAAAGCTTTGAGCACTACACTTATTCAGATGCCTCGTACACTTTAAAAAATGTTGATAATTTTTTTTTCGTTGCTTAATTTCATTGCTCGTTGCATTGCTTGTGTCGCCCGCGCGCCGGGCCACCGCCACGGCCGCACGTCACACACTGCGCGAGCTGACGTCAGCAACCGATTACGTCCACTTGAGAGCTGACGTCAGCAGCCGATTACGTCCACCCGAAAATCGGCTTTTGGAACGCTAAGCGACGCCGCGCCCCTGACGGGAGCTGGGCCTGGCTGGCAGAGCGGCGGACGCCGGCGAGCTCGCTCCGGCGCCCCCGTGACCTGCGCCCGGGCTGGGAGTACCTGCAGACGTCGGCCGGCGACGCCGAGCAGCGGGTCTCGGTCGTCTCCAGCACCTCGTCCAACGCCACGTCCGGCGTCGTCTCGGACCGGACCGTGCCGAGCCTGGACGACAGCGACGGTGAGTGCTGGCCCGTCTGGCCGCAGCGACACCGCCCCGGCCCGAACACCGCCGCCACGCCGTGGGTGCGTGCGTTGAGATGCCCTTGTTAGGGTGTGTGGGACGGCTGCTGCCGATCTTGACAATGCCTTGGTATGCAGCGCTGAACAGATTTTTGATATTACGAACTGTCGGGGAAGCCACTGAGTCTTCAAGCAAGTGAACCTGTGGTGAGCGGCTTACAACGACCGCGGGGCTGGTGGCAAGGAGGCACCAAATAAACTTGCCGCAGTCCGGGCCGTTTTGCTGGTCCTGGGCGGTGAGTCAGGTGCGGTCGGGTATTTACAGATGACCTGCAGGCGGAGCTGCTGGCCGGCTGCGGGGCGGCCGAGTCTGCCGAGAGCGGGGTGGACTCGATGACTCGCTCCCGCTCGCAGCTGGACGCCGCCTCCCCGCGATCGTCACAGAGATCCTCCGCCGGTAAGTCGGCACTGAGGCTCCCACAGCTTTGGAAATTAGTCTCAGCTTTCTGTGCAGTCAGTTAAATGTTGAATTGAAGACGTTATTGTGGCGCCCTGAATATCACTCTTTAGCGACCAGCGGTTACACAACAGCCCCTCGCTGAAAGAAAATCGCGTAGTGCCGGTCCGGCTCGGCGTTCCACTCCGGATCAGCCAGTCCGCGGCTGCACCGGACCGGAGGCACTGGCCACATTGACAAACGCCGTCCTGAGATGCCCGTGACGTCACCAATGGACGACTGAATCTGGTGCAGCACGGGGTAAGACCCGTCGAGACGTGGCTATGACGTCACAAGCCACTGGCTCGGGATGATAACTGTCGGGAACGACGGACCTCGTGTCATTTTTTTGCACAATGCGTAGACAGGAATGTGACGGAAGCTGTTTCGCAAGTCGTTGGCGCTTCCGATATCGCAATTCCGTCGTCATTAGGGCTTTACGACGCACTCAGCTACTGAGCGCATGTGGCCTCGTCTGCCTCTCACCCCGACTGGAAGGATGGACACCGTGAAGAACCGAACCCTGTACGTTTGGTCATATCACAATTTGTATATGTAGGCAATATAATGGCATGCCACCCTTCCGTCACTTCTACCGCTACATGGACAGCAGGCTGACCTGGTTGACGATATTCAGAGGTGTCTGTTTGTTTACTCACTGACGCCCGGAGGCTGTTTTTCCCCGAACTTGTGGCAGTATACTGACTAAGCATTGATGTTAGTCTGCCAGCGCGGCTGAGGTGGCAGTGAACTGTCATTTCGCTGTCACTTGACACTGACTACGTTCAATTATCCAGCACTGTCACCGCTACCACCATCTACTTCCAGCCATTAACTAGCACTGTATAACTTGAACGCCAAGTTATTGATCGTACCTCTTGATTCCGAGTGAGGTCGCAGGTTGGGCGATCCTTACTTGAGCCATGTATGATGCGATTTTCAGCTTAAGCGGCTCGGCCCGGCGTAACCCGGCCGTTGTGCTTCCTTGGAGTTGACGCATTGGAAGTCACTCATTGTGGGCTCATGCTGTATGGTCGGTCAGACTTTTCTTGCAACATTGTAATACGAGCACGATTCCATGTCTCCATTCGGGTAACATGAGAAAGGTAAAATTGCCGCACGCAGAAAACCCTGAAGAACTACGGGTGAGCCACACTAAACCCGAGTCTCAGATCTCACTGACCCACTATTGCATTGCAATGAGATCAACAGATTCAGACGGAAGAAAAAGGGACAGTCGTATTGGCCAAGATATGGGGCAATGTGCCGATGTGGTCACGTGCTCTCGTGCGCCAATCATGGATCCTACCGTTTCGGGGTGTTTTGGGGGTTGTTGTTGGATCTCAGCAGCAAGGTTAGATCGATACGTGAACTCAGCTGCACGTTGCGGGTGAATGTACGATGCTCACTGGCCGGTCTCACAACTGCCCCACCCGTAGTGGTCTAGTGTACCGTAGTGCGGTCTTGTGATCTAGCGACGTTTTGACCAATGATCGACCGGAAAGCGACTTACCTTTTCATCCTGTTCGAAACTGATCTCGAAAGCCTGATGGATATTTTGGGTCTGGAAACTACACTGGTTATAGACCTGTTCGTTGTGAGCAACGTCCACCAAACTATTTTCGTTTTCCCCATATTGTGGCCATGATTACAAAAACCGTAAACTACCGCACACTTCTCGATGCACGCACGCACGCACGCACGCACGCACGCACGCACGCACGCACACACACTCCCACCCACATACCCACACCCACACCCACACCCCCCACACCCCCTCCACACACATACACGCACGCATACACACGTTGTTCCTTTAGTGATATAGAAGAGATTTTTTGGCAAAACACGTTCAAGCCAAAATTGAGGGAGGTGTGGACCTCACCTGTATGTTTGAATGAAGCATCATGTATGTCTATTTCCTTCAATTCGTTTACATGTACACGTATGTTCGCGGACTCTAATCCTTCGATAGGCACTGTATCGTGGTAATGGCTTGAAATCGCTCCTGGTTTAATCCCCGGAATGCTGGTGTCCTGTAAAAACTGTGACATGCTGTTAAAAAAAAAACACTGAAAAATCGAGTGGTATCATTGGCCGGCAATTTTCAATTCACTTCTGCTATTGTTTCGATAAAAGTATGTTGCCGACATATCGACTCAACCATATTTCCATTCCCCTTTTTTCCTCGAGGAATAAGGTTAATACTAATGTCTGTTGTTATACTGTATGATTTCAAGTGTTGTGGAGGACATGGGTGTAAGTGATTTTGGCGATCCGTTCGTGGGTGGTGGGTGAGCAAGAAGGCAAACACCATAGTTTTATGGAAGAGTTGCGATGAGACGTCAGTTTCACTGATGAAACAATAATACGGACTGTTGTCCTCGTCTGATGGTATGAACACGTGCTCATACTGTTTTTTTACAGGGTATTTCATTTTGAATTTTGACTTTAATAAGGTGCTCATATTTATGTACAAAATCTCTTGAGAAATGTCCTTGTTTTACAGACATTTCAGCATTTCGACACTTACGCCAATCAGTGTTTGTGTGCCTAAAAGCGGCCCACGGCAGTTCCATGAACACGAGTGCACTTCCAGAATAACTCACACCCGCTAGAGCTTTGCGGATGACGCGTCCAGCCGCTGAGCTCGGGGATGAAAGCCTGTATCTCCAGCTCCCAAACCACGATGACTGCGTGGAAGACACTAATCTAAATGCCTAGCAACCTTCAACAATATTTGTCAAATAGGTTGTGCTTGGTCCTTTTTTGCCGCCCTTAATTGCACTGTTGATACTGATATTTCAAGTGAAACTCCCTTCGTACTATATATATATATATATATATATATATATATATATATAAAGTATTTACGCCGGTAGATGCTTGCACACCAGACAAGGACAAAAGTCCGAACAATTATCCCATCTGTGGGCAAACATTGCTGTACGGTGTGATTTACTTCACTTTGAAGTGGAACGGCTGTGCAGTTAGTTCTCCGCGAACACTTGCTATCAGTGTAGACTAAACTGCCTTCAGCTGGCACGCCAAATGAGATGTTCAAGGCAGTGCGATCATTTGGTGTACCAAACCGACCAAACACTCCGCATCTGTGGGTCATTCGGTTCGAGTGTACCAAGTGGCTGCTGCTTTGTGCGTTGGAACGCAGACTTCTTACTGACGCGTCGTCTCGTCTCCAGGTGGGAGGTGACCCCGCCAGCCCGGCGGCGTCCGTCCGCGGCGGCGGTGGCGCCGGCTGCGGCGGCCGACGCACGGCGGGGCTCCGGGCGCACCGGCGACGGCTGCGCTCCTTCCCCGCGCCGCCTGTCGCTGACAGGAAACCCACACTACGCGCTGGCGCAGCTGCCGCCGGCCGCCGCCGGCCGTGTCGAGGCCAGCGAGCCGGCGCCGGCGCCAGGGTTCGCATCGCCAGCGGCCTGCTGCACCACGAGCGCGCAGCAGGAGGCGTCGATGTGCGGTGCCGCGCGGCCGGCAGCCGGCGGCGGCGCGTGCCCCTCGACGCCGCCAGCCGGACGTTAAACAGCACCATGTGCACGCGGCCAGACGGCAGCACCGGCTCCGGCTCGGACAGCGCGCGCCACCGCCCGCTGCGGCCGAGCGGTGCCACGGACGGCGACGCGCCGGTCAACGCTGACCTGCGCGGAGCCCGTCCGACAGCGCCGACCTGTGCAGCGGCACCTGGCCGCCGCCGGTCAGGTGGACATCGACTACAGCGTGCACTCGGCGCACACGTCGGTCGGCTCTGTCGTCACGACGCCCGGCTCGTTCCCGCGCAAGACCACCGTCTCCAGCACGTTCGAAACGGACAGCGACTACGTCCAGGTGCCTTACGACAGGCACGGCCAGCCCCGGATGGCTGAGCCGGCGGGCGGCGTGCCATGGCCACGGTGACGACGGTGACGCCCGTGTGTGTGCGCAGTCATGCAGACGGCGGCGGGGACGAGCGACCGCCGCCGGCGGAGGCTGCCGTGCGCGTTGTCACCGTGCCGGCGGCCGGGGCGCCGGCTCGGGTGAGGCGTCGGCGCGCTTCATCACCGCCCGGCCACCGTGACCGTGCTGCGTGCATGCGTGGCGAAGGCGTCGCTCCTCGAGCCCCAGCCGCCGCCGGCCGCCTGTCGCGCCCAGCTGCTCCAGAGCGCAGCGTTGCTCAGCGGCAACAGCTGCCTGGACGTGCGCGCGTCCCACCCGGCCCCGGGTCCCGGGCCGGGGCCCGCGCGTCGCGACTAGCTCTCAGCACGGCGCAGAAGCCCGCGGCGATGCGGCCAGCGCCCGGTCCGGTGTCGAGTGGCGCGTTGGCACGTGTGGGGCCGCACCCTACGCTGGGCCACGCGGTGACTCAACCCTCGCTGAGTCCCTGTATGCACGCGGTGCCGACTCCCAGCTGGCAGCAGTCGGCACCAACCGCCAGCTGGCAGCAGCCGGCGATCGGCGCGGAGCTGGCCGCAGCTGGCAGGCTGACCCAGTGGCGGCGGGTCCGCTCTGCCGTGTGGCCGAGACCCGGCGCAGCGCGCCAGCCTGGCCACCGTGTTACCGGCCAGCTGGCCGCTCGCAGATCGAGCAGTTCCAGCGCCAGCTGCTCTCCAACTCAGATTACGTCATGTACCCGCTGAAGGACCCGGGCATCAGCCGGCAGGAGTACATGGACGCCAGGCGGTGCGGTGTGGCGGACCTCTCGGACGGCCGGCCGCCGCCGCCGCTGTGCCGCGCCCCCAAGGACAGCGCGCAGTACCGCAGCTTCTTAGTGGCAGGCCCGCGCGGCGCCAGCGTCGGCCCGACGCGCGAGGCGGTCGGCTCGCTGGCGGAGCGGCTGGACAGCCTGCGCCGCCACCTCAGCTGCCAGTCGCTGGCCCCCTCCGCCACGGGCGCGTCCGCAGTCAGCGGCACGCCAGCGCCCAGCCCGGCACTGCCGACGGCCGCCAGTGGCCGGCGCGCCGCTGTGAACCGCGCGACCTCGGACAACCTGCCGGCGTCGGCCGGCGCGGCGCGACGCTCGGCGGCGTCGGCTCACGGCGATGAGCGGCCTCCACCGCCGTACTGGCAGGTTAGTCAGCTCGGTCAGCCAGTGGCCGGCGGTGTTGTGACAGATGTTCTGAAGCGTGCCTGGTGCCGGTTTGTCACCATGCCATCTGCATGCGCCGCTGCTGGTCGTCGGGTGATCGGGGAACGGGTGCGCTGCTGCCGCGTCAGGTGATGGGCGCGCCCCTGACGACGATGGTGTGCTGTACCCAGGCGCAGCAGCTGCTGCCAGACGCAGCCCCGAGCCGGTCGCTGGTGTCCGTCAGCCAATCAAGCCAGTCCCAGCGACAGCGGCGCCAAACGCTGAACAAGCACCAGCTGCTGGTCCGCCAGCACCTGGATTGCATGGAGCGAGTGTCGCCGGCCAGCGGCGCCGAGCCGCCGACGCCGACGGCACCCTCTGGCCAGCCTCAGCTGGACGTGGACCAGCTGCGGCTGACCAGCGACCGGCTGGACCTGCCCCTCATCTCGGCGCTGTGCCGCGACCGTCTCCTGCGGTCGCCGACCTGCCGGCCACGCACCTGGCACGAGGCGAGCGGCGCACCGGTCGCTTCGCCGGCGCACCCGGCCGCCGGCCAGCCGATCCTCGCACGCCAGCAGTCGCTCGCGCTGCCGGCGTTTCCGGCGGCCGGCCGTCCGTCGGAGCCGGGCAGGCCGCGACGCCGGCCGGTGGTCACCAGTCACCGCCATCCGTCGACCGTGACGCCGCTCACCGCCAGCACGCCTGCCAGGCGCGGCGGGAAGGCGGCGCCGGCAGCGGGCGCTGGGGCTGCCCGGTGACCCAGCCGTCAGGTGCCACGTGGTGTCACGTCAGGGTCATCCGCGATAAGGTTGCCACAAATCAGTGATGCCGTGAATCGCGTCCTTGCGGGCGTCTGAGTCATTTCCCTTCCGCCCGTCTCATTGTGCCTACATTGGCAAGTCATGATGCGGTGTGATCCGGCTCCCGCCGGGTGTTCTGGCCAGTAGCTTGTTTTGCTAGCGTCTGGATGGTCCCGAACAGGCGGGCAGCAGGGGTTTTCAAAGGCGGGGTTTGGTCGCAAACGGAGACGCAGAATTTGGCTGTAGTTTCAAAATGCAATGGAGGAGAAGCCACCAACAAAAGAGATTGTGTTGCTCCCTGGAGCCATGTAGGCCGTCCAGATGAATCCACTTTCCAGGCAATGAGTCTTTCCATAATCACATGTATTCAACTCCCGTGTGGCTTATTTATATTTTTTCGTCCAAGACCCGTCCCGGGAAGCTTATCCTTGAGGCCTGTTGCTGCGTCCCCAGTGTACTGTCACCTCGTGTTTGTACTTCAAGGGTAATGGCCACTGACGCTCGCTGTGGTACGGCATGAAATGTCGGTTTGGCAAGGCAAGATATCGGGTCATGTTCCACGTTGATTGTGATATGTCCTCCGAGCGTGTGGCAAATGTGTCTTCACCTCTAACACTGTACGGTGTATGTGTAATGTCGTGTATGCGCACCTGAACAATCGCCAAGTTTTCCAAAGCAATTCATATTTTATCAGAATAGTGTGTAGTTTGTGGCGACGTGGCCCTTACTTCTTCGTGTA